GGGATATCAAAAAAAAGGAAGATACTTGAGAAGGTTGAGGGTAAACGGGACGGTTTACCTGACGTGCAGTGCCGAATTGCTCCAAAAGCGGAGGAGGTATCCCACGACAAGACGTGAAATCAGCGATCTCACTGGAGTAAAGAAACACCACTACAACAGAGCAGGGATGTTTAATTGCATTGCCGCAACTTATAACGATCCTGATCTATCTGATTCTATCATCGCCTTAGTCCTGCTTTCCCCCGTAGCGTTCTCCTGTTCCCCTCCCCTCTAAACATTCACTATGCCTGACTGGAAATCAGCCGCTGAAATCCAGAAAGATGCAGTGGCCTTTGGCAAACTTGTGCATGCTCTGTTGGGATTATACACGTGCGTTTGATCATATACTTCCACGACACCCCTAACCACGATCATAAATATTTTAGATATGAATGGTTTCTGACGCTTGATTTTGACCTGGATTTTCTGCGGGGGAAGAGAAGGTTCCGGTGGCCAATGGTGTGCAAATACCTCCTCAAATTAGGCGTTCTAAACACATAGTCATTTAGATTTTTTATTTCGCCAACAGATATCTTCTTCTTTTCGCGTTGATAGGCATGTAAGGAATTGCTGCTTTCTTCAACTATCATCTCGCTGATGGTACTTTGATAATGACAAGCGTGATTTCTTTGGACGTCACTTCGGAAGTTCAGTGTCAAGTACTCTATACTTTCAACCAGATCGCAGGAAACGCCGCTATGGGGCTAGCGAGTATCAATCTTTCTATCCGAACGTTTGTTGTGTCCTTCATCATTTTTCGCTGGTAATTGATTGGCGTTTAAGCATGGCGATCTGGTCACAAAATAAATATATTGTTGGCTTCCTCGTTCTTATGACCTTTGGACATTGGTCGTTGATTCTTCAAGGCAAGGATTCCAGTTTAAACTGTATGTTCTTTTCTGATTTTTAATCTTCGTCAGGAGTCCAACTTCGAGCAACCTGGGTTGATAGTGTTGGATGCGTTATCACCCAGACTAACAACACCGTCCTCGCAGCGACCTTCATTTATTCGATGTGCTTCGATTTCATAGTTCTCCTCCTGAGCACCTACAAACTCATTGGCGTGAACTGCAAGACAGTAAATTTTGTCGGTCAAAGTCGCCTTGTCCAAATGTTATTCGAAGATGGCTTGATCTTCTTTATGATTGCGTCAGTCAAAATCGCAGCGTACATATGGAAAACACTCATATTTCTCCTTAGCTTCCTTGTTAACCTATGCGCGACAACATTAATTTTGAAAAATCTCAACCAGGTCATGACGATTATTTTTAATGTGCCGGCAGTTGTCGCCGCCTCCGTTTGTTCTTTTAGATCTCCCAGGCTCCCATCACTGCTCTGACCAGACCATCGCTTCAGATTGTCGCGTGCCGCGCAGTTCGTCGTTTAACAAACTTCGGCCTCACAGGCGGACTCGAAGTTTAGTAGGTATTTTCCTCTTGCTTGCCACGCGTTTCGACTCTCGAGTATAAATATTTTTTGCTGCAGTGGATCCTCTAGCGCCGTCAGTGGTGCGGCTGGAACAAGAAGTATCCAGCCCGCTATCGACCATCGTAGAAGTGGTCTGTAGTCAGGCGTCCACGTTCAAGTGCGTGTCCGTGAAATTTAATTTAGTTCACTGATTTACTCGACCACAGATGGAAACATTCACTCATAAAGAAAGCTCTCTCACGTTCGCCAAGCAGAAGGATCGGAACGGTAGTGAAACCGACGTTGAGCCTGAGTTCGACATCGAAGCCAAAGGAAGTCTGTAATTTGGCCCTTTTCCACACGACGCTATTTTTGCCCAATCATCCGACCTGTCCGGAATATGACAAAATGACTCTATGTGTCCCCGGTAATGACCTACAGAAATGTAGGATTAAAAATTAATTTAATCCACTGAACTATTTGACACTCTGACATTCAAAGACCGAAGGTTCGCTTCCGCCTGCCTATCCATGAAAATAATGTTATCCCTTACTACGCGTACATCGGCGGTTTAACTGTAACATCACTCTAGCCCAGGTTTTGCCCTCGTGGGACTGGAGTCCTTGAAATCGGCCTTTCGCTGAACTCCTTCCCTGTGACGGGATGCGGAAGATGCGGACCGTCTGACCAACGCGGGGAAACTCCGGAGCAGGGTCGTTAAACGTTTTGAGCCACTCAACGCGTTGAATACTTACTCGAGAACACTTCATTCTATTCTCCCTAAAAAGAATCCACAGTTCAACATATTCAGAACCAGGAGGTATTCTGAAAAGTACAAGCCAATCAGTATCGTCAAAAGGGAAAAAGGGGAGCACCCATTTTTGCAACTTCTCAATGAGACGAGATATCTACTTTTCAAAGTTCAGGACGGCCGGAAGTGTGAGTAAAATTATGCTCAACACGCTCCTGACCTTCGGGTGCCGATGAATCTGGAAAGGCGAAGTCCACTTGTATGATAGAGAGGATGAGGTAAATTAATACTTCTCCTCCGATCTGCGAGTCGAGCCAATGGAATTGCGGTTTGACATGTTTGTGGTGTAATTATTTGGAACCGTGCACAGGGATACCAACCACCTCCATGTAGATTAACCTACTTTTTTTATTTTAGGCTGGGATTTCCAGAATGTCGGACCGACACAACTTCCCTGCGAGATGTCAATCTTTTTTTCTCCCCCTTTATAGTTTGTCGGTCCGAGCGCCGGCGCCGTTCGCTACAGCTTTTATGTTTTCAGAGAAATATTCAAAGACGGCTTCTTTCTGAAATAGAATGTAAAAAAAAGTGCTGACGCAATCATGCGCCATGGCCTCTGTTTTGACTTGTTGATCAAGCGCTTGCGCCACCTCCATTGCCGAGTTCACTTTTATTCACCATCCGCCCAACATCCGTGTCTCGGTCCGTATCCTCTACCCTGTGTCTTCTCTTCTCAGGATCGTCAATTCGAAATTATGCCGTCATACTGAGCAACCAACCACCTCTTTCGCGAATCCCGACCCCACCACGTCTTGCAGGCTCCTTCTACAACCTCATGAAGAACTCGGGCCGCATACCTACATGCAGGTGATCTCTTTCTTTTTTTAATCACGAGGGAAACGCTGACATTCACGCAGTACTCCGTCAACGTTTCAACCATCATGTGGTCCCACTTGAAATTAGCAGAGCTGGGAAGGACAGAAGTGATAATCACCGTCAAAGCGGTGATGACGACCAGCTGCGGCTACGACGAAAGAAGGGAGAGGAAGGGTTCAACAAGGAGAAGGGATTCTACAGGAAGGGACACGAACTCACTGAGACGCAGCCCATGGATGATGGGGTTTATGGTGGGCTTTTTCACCCTTAGCCTGTCGATTCATCTTGTTATCACTCAGAAAGCACAGGTACTAAATTCTTCCCACAACGAGGCGATGCTTGAGAAATTGCAGTTGGGAAGTCGCACAAGGTTGTCCTGGGACGTGATGATGAATTTCCGGAGGGTAACAGCGAGACCGAGAAGGCAGAACTACACGTATTATGGAATAGTGTAGGTCATCTACGCCACTTTCGATTTGTTTATTGACATGGCATCTTCTAGTACATCCCAAGTATAATCACATTTTCATTTCCGCTGATTGCAGAGGATCGTCCGTCAAAAAGCTGAGAAACGGTGAGCGATTCTCCAGTTCACATCGACATGATCAGTTGGACAGAACGAGTGGATGAGCTGATGATGCTTGCACAGATAATTAGATCGCGGCGGATGGAGGCTTTGGCAATGATCAAAATGAAAACGGGTCTGAGGCGTCGGTCGTTTCATTACTAACCGGTACTATAACCAGTGAACACTGGCACATCCTGAGAGTACGTACGTAAGGGCAACGACAGTCGACGGTCACTAACCACAGTACCATCTTTTATCGAGGCAGGGCAGTCGCGAGTCAACGAGCTCCCTCCATCAGTGAGAGGGACACGGCGGTGAACGCGGTTGCACCCGAGGACTCAGGCAGGAGAGGGGGGTAATAACAAGGTAGTGGAATCAATCCACACGGACTGTTTCGACTTGCCGAGTGAGTGTTCAGATGGAGAGGGAAGCGTAGCATGTCGATTGTTATCCGAGCGCAGAGGTCAGTGGACGCAAATGAAGCTTACAGCTAACGAGGTATCGATAGACCAGATTCCAAAACACTCCACTTAGTGATTTTATTTACTTTTGGAGCTGACCAAACAACTACGGCCAGCCATTTGGCGGGCATTGCCTTCCCGCCCCTTCTCACTTGTTGCATATATAGTCATACATTCCCAGTAAGGTTATTTGCACATACCCTGAGGCTCCACAAGTAAACAAAATCACTAAGCGGAGCGTTTTGAAATTTGGTCTATCGATACCTCGTTAGCTGTAGGTTCACCTCTCGCTCACTTCGAAGCACAGGTTTACCCCCTCATATAGTGGCCAATCATCGTCGTCAGAGCGCTTAACACATCGTTTAACTACCAACTGCAAGTCTATAGCCAAATGGAGCGAGGGTGTCAACCATGGGAGCTGGGTATGGCCAGTTGAATACGAGGGGTGTAGGAGAATCGTTCCGGCTGGTAACGCGTGGACGTCGGAGGGTCGTTCTACATGGAATTGACTGGATACAGCTGAGAGCATCGTTGAAAATGGGCTGGGGGCGCAGTCAGTGCTTTTGAATTCACAGACTGCCTACGCTACAGGCCCGTACTGTGCAACGATTTAATTGGAATGGCTATGGCTCACTTTAGTGGGTAGGCCGGTGATTGTTCGTCTATGAGCAAGCCCCAGTTTTTGTTACGCACATTGCCCGAAAATATCCCAATAACCCGACAAACCGGTTACGGTCCCGGGATCTCCATTTTTAGTGAAAGTTACTGCGTGTTGGAGGTAAGAACAATATCTGTAGCGGATTCATGAAGAACATGTGCGTAATCAAAACCACATTCTTCAACCGCTGTTCTTGATTATAACCATGTAGCGAATTCCTTGTAAGCCTTACATGGCACAAGGTCACCAATGCGATCTAAGAAGACCAATCGGACTTGGATAATAACTGAATGGGTGTCTCCCGTCTTCTCAAAGACTCGACATGACGACGGCCATCGGTCCCAGTTCGTTGTTGGCCTTGCAAAAACACCGACGTTGCGGAAGGAGTGCCACATTGAATTCACTGGGTTCGTATCATCATTTTCTATCCCTCTCATTCGGGACGCATAGTGTCAAGTCGGTACCTGTTGATGGGTCACGTACAGCATAGAAGATCCGAGCCCATCGAGCTCAGAGGTAATTCTATTTTTCTAGCTGCGATCTCAAGTATACTCACATCCGCATCAACTTTTACATATTTCAGGACGAAAGTCAGGGGATTTCAAGATAACGAATGTGAGCCATTGCCAGATATCATATATTGTAGCACGACCGCTTTCTGGCATTCGCTTTCGTCAAGGACCTCAATAATATTTTGACCGGGGAAACGAATTTTCAAAAAGGACTGGCGTCGGGCAATTTTAGAGCAAAGTATTGGGGCTCTCAGGAAATATCCGGGCGAAAAAAGTTAATCAAAGTACATTACAGCACAATCATCATCACTATCAACTATTTCCGTCGAAAACTTGAAAGCAATAATGGTGCTTCGGGATAGCCACGGAAAGTATTCAGGAATCTTCTGTAACTTTTCACGGAACGCTAAATCACCCTGACTCACATACCGACAGGAGGAAATTTTGATATCAATGTGAAGCGAAACCCGACGAAGCATAGGAAATCCGTCAGCGAGTACGGTGTCAAGCCTGCCCCATTTTGTACGGTCAGTGGTGCATTGCTGGTCAGTCCAGGTGAAGACGTTCAGGGTGATTTCTTCGATAACGTTGCGTCCCGCGAATTGAGTGAGCTCATCGCAAAGACCGCACAGGGGGTCTTTGAATTTTGGTTTGATTCCCAACACGATGTGAAGTCTCTTTAACGTCGACAAAGAGGATTTGTTCATCCAAGCAAACAGATCTTTGCATCCGTCATCCAAATATGTCACTAGAAACATCAACATCAATCCCTGATGAAACCGAATTTTGGCAGTGCACATACCTCGATAATGTAGAATTTCAAGCTTTTCCGAGGCTTGTAGCAACGTTTTCCTCCCCTCAAAGTAGCCCTTGAAGCGCGCATGAATATTCAACTCCTTGAGATCACGAAAATCGAGCATTGGAACGTTGGAGGAACGTTTGACGTGGAAAAGTTTCGTGACAAAAGGGTCATCGGCACAACCGAAAGTGAAAGACCGTATATGCGGGACGAGATCCAAGGTAGTATACTCCTCGTCCTTATCACATTTTGTGGCGGCAGTAAGACCAATTGAATTTATTGCGAGGTCGGTGAGAGTGACGCAGGGAATGAATGCTGTGACTGGAAAGTCCCAGAAGAAGTAGATTCGCGCACGTATCAACGAGTGTGAATGAATGAGACGCAGTAATGCTTCTTGCATTGGTGAGCGCAATGTATTCCAGTGGGCATTAGAACCATTAAGTTCGAGGGTCTGAACTGGATGAAGTTTTTCCAATACTCGAACGTTGTCATCCCCCTCGTCGTTATGCTCGATCTCATAAACAAGATTTCGAACATAATGTGCAATGTCTGCGTTGCTGTCAAGAAGAAGCCTCAGTGATTTGAGCATGCGTGAACGATGGCCACCAGCGTGATGGCGAGTGAGACTGATGGTCCGAAAGATATGTTGGCGGCACAATGGCAGAAGCGATTGGCATGTCTGCGAGCACGCTTTCAAGGAGGTTAGATCCTCCTGAAGAGCATCGATGATCTCTTTGACGATTTCCGGAGGAATGTCAGGGAAGGACGTCATGGTGAAGGCAGGAAGCACGGCGAGATGAGATTACATCAGCAGGGCATTGATTGTCATCTGACTCATCTCTACTACTGTTCACCAAAGAAGACGAATGGAATCACAGACGGCGTCGTTGTCGACCCGCAAAGAACTCAACGCGAACGACTTCTTCAGCAACACCGACTTGCTGCTGAAAATATTTGATTATCTTTTGTGGGATGACGATGACGAGCTAAACTCGGACAACGCAATAGCGTGCAAGCATGCCCTAGCGCAGGCAGCAGTGACATGCAAAACTTTTCTGGAACCCGCCCTAGATCGCCTCTGGTGCACCCTCGATACTCTCTTCCCACTGCTCAAACTCCTCCCATCATTCATACAATGTGAAGGAACATACGTGAGTGAGTCCGCGCATCTCAATTTGAGCTCTCGCAAACTCGCATCAGGTCCTTCGAGGACCAACCGACTGGTCCCGCTTCGACTTCTACGCCAAACGCGTCAAAAACTTCAGCTACATCCGTGACCCAGACCACCTCGACATAGCCCTGCACGTCTACTTCCGCATAGCCCAACTCCGAACCTCACCAATCCTCCTCCCCTCTCTCCAATACATCCGCTGTCCATCCATCAGCTCAAACGATTTTCTCATCTCTGGCATATGTCTCTCTCTCTCCCCGTCTTTGGTGGCAGTGGAGATTGGGGAGATTACAAGCGTGGAAGATAAATTATGTGGGACTTTTTTGTATACGCTTTTGAATGATGGTGCGGAGTTGGTGAAGATTATACTGAGGGGAGAGGGGCTGGGGAAGGAATCGATGGCGTTAATACCTCGTTTCGAGAAGCTGAGGGTATTGGAACTTGGAGGTATGGGCGAATCTCTGAGTTTGCCGTGGTTGGAACGCGTTGGGGCACTGTCGGCGCTTACAGACCTCGACTTGGATTTCATAGACTCACCAATACCCCCCTTGGCGAAAACCGTAGGCTTCAGACACCTAAGGAGTCTATCCATCTCCGCATCACTCCCATTCATCCAATCGTTCGTTGTCAACATATCAACGGACCAACTAGACACCTTTGTCTGCCTATCACCCCCTGAACCAGGGTTCGACATGAAACTCTTGGTTGAGGACGTCGTTTCGCGCTGGCCTAGCTCCTTACGATGTTTCGGGCTCAGACTAACACCGGAGGACACGGAGGCGGAAGAGTTACCTCTCGACACATTAAAGCCTTTATTCCCTTTACACAATCTCCGCACGCTCAGTCTACGTGGATACCTTATGGATATCAGCGATGACCTGATAGAAGAGTGGGCGAAGACCTGGCCAAACTTGAACGACCTCCTCCTCCCGTTCCTCCCTCCCACTCGTGTGCGGCCGAGGATGAAGTCTCTTCGAGTCCTCGCGGAACGTTGTCCCAAGCTTACGGAACTGCGGATACCCCTGGATTCGAGCGACATACAGGCTGTACAACCCTTTTTGTCATCGAGGAAACCATTATATCCAGAACTTAAACATGAACTAAAGACGCTCATGATCACATCGGTAGTAGACGATTGGGATACGCGGGACGCCTTTCTGATTGGACGGTATTTGGATGGTTTGTTCCCCGGCTTGAAGTGCGTGCGTTCATATGAAGGACATGAGGACGAGCGGTGGGTGCAGGTGAATGAGTTGGTGAGGTTTGCGCAGACGATTAGGGCGGAGACGATTGCTAGTTGTCGGGGGTAATTGCGCATGGACATTGTATTGAAGTCTTCATGTCTTCCTATGAGGCATACTCACGATTGCAAGGCTTAGGAAGAACGTTGGAACTTGCCAATGAATCTGGTTACGTTGATGTGGAGAGTCGATATCATCTAGGAGTGCAGTGGTTGAAGAATGTTGTTATTATAATGCACATATCCATAAATTATACTTACTTCCAGAACGTTCATCGCGAAGTAATTATCCATTATGGGGGAGAGCATTAATCACCTATCCATTACGGTGAGCCATAGCCATTCCAATTGAATCGTTGAATGGTACGGACCTGTAGCGTAGATTAGTGGATTTAAAAGAACGGACTGCGCTCCCTGCCCATTGTCAACGATGCATTCAGCTGTATCCAGTCGATTCCATGTAAACCCTCCGACGTCCACGGGTAGTTGGACGATATGTCAGGCGCTCTGATGACGTTGATTGGCCTGTATATGGTGGAATAAACCTGTGCTTGGGTGTGAAAAAGAGGTGGAAATTGAGTAAAAAGCCTTACCTCAAAGCGAGAACTGCCAACGCACTAAGGACTGTTGTTTTTAATCAGACCTTGTGCTGCACTTTACAGAAAGGGCACTCTTGATGATGCCGCCAACCCGCTGCCAATACCAGCATCGACGTCCAAACATTTGAAAAGGGACGTGACTGGTAGGTAGCCACCTGTTATCGGCAAAGGAAGCGACGTCTGAGATTTCGTGTAAATATATGCCCTTGTCGGCTCTGGTTAGTATGAAACGAATGAGAAGAAAGAGGATTTTTACAGGGCGCCTCAAACCCGTTTCCATTGCCAAAGCCTTCATCCGCCCTCGGGCCTCGCCGCGGCCTAAGCATCTGCGCAAGCATCGTCAGCTCGTCCAGTGGTTGTTCAACTGATCGTGCTTGAGGAGCAATTCGCGAGGTCTGGAGCAAAATAGGTGGTCTGTGAAAGGCAAAGCAGGAGATTCGAGTGTCACAAATCCAACTTTTCGCTGCACGTTAGACGTCGGTGTTTGATCAGCGCTTACGCTGTGACATCTGAGAGGTACATATGAGATCCCAAACGGGTGCCTGAGTCCAAATTCCTGTGTGGCTGTGCAAAGTACATGACCGAAAACGTGAGTCTTAGGCTGCGCACAAAGGACGACGACGACGACAACTACGTGTCCAACATCCGCCATGGCGTCGACGGCAAAGGCTCGCTACAACGTTGGCCTCAAACTATACACCTTTCTTCTACTCCTCCTCTCTCTCATCGCCCTCGTCTTAGGGCAAGAACAACCAGTGCACACGATAACACCCTTTAACAACCTACCAGCGCGCCTTTTCTTCTTTGACGATACGGAGGTACGATTTTCGACCACTTTATGCATGTATTTTACTTACAAGAAGGTTTAGGCCGCAATTTATCATGATTCAATCGATGGGAATGTCTACGTGTCGCAGGATGAGGGAAAGTCTTGGAGTATGGCAGAGGGCATTCCCAAGGGAAAGACAGTCATGGTAATCGAGCACCCATTCGACAACCGCTACGTGAGTCTCTTCAGAACATATAGAACAACCTCGGCTGATGTTTTTATCGTTTCAAGGCATTCGCGCTCACCGATAGCAAGATTCACTACCGCACCGAAGACCGCGGAAAGACGTGGCGGTCTTTCGAAGTTCCAGTCCCACCCGCTCTCGTCGCCAGGCCGATGTCATTCCATTCAGATCCCAAGAAATGGGGATCGATACTCTATCAGGGAACCGCGTGCAACCGCCAAGGGTGGGGCGCCATCTGCCACGACGAGGTATGTCGTTCCCACTTTCTCTGGCTCATAATGTAACATAATATTATAGACTTATTACACCAAAGAAGCTTTCAGCGACACTCCCCAACTCCTCCTCTCCGAAACTTCGCGTTGTCAATTCGCTCACAGCAGCAAAGACTTTAAACATGAAGCCCACTCTGACCTAATCTATTGCGTCGCCTTCGACACCTCAAGCGTCGACGGCTCCCACGCCCTCTCCTCGAGCCGCCTCTTCTCCACCACCGACTTCTTCGACAAAGACCGCAAAGTCGAGGAGCTTGGTATTGGGAAGAACGCAAAGGGCGTCATTGCCTTTGCCATCGTCTCCAAATACGCCGTCGTCGCACTGAAGGACCTCTCGCCTTCCAACGACGGCGAAATGTTGCTGTACGTCACTGTGGATACGAACACGTGGGCAAAGGCGCAGTTTCCGCATGCCTCCTCGGCCAAACTCAGAGAAAACGCGTATACGATCGTCGAATCGACCACGCACTCCCTCGCCGTCGACGTGGTGCTTCAAGACAAGAGCAGCATCGGGACACTCTTCGTCAGCAACTCCAACGGCACCTTCTTCGTCGAGAGTTTGAAGGACACGAACAGGAACGATATGGGGTACGTCGACTACGAGAAGCTGTACGGCGTCGATGGCGTGGGCCTTGCCAATGTTGTTTCGAACGCGAAGGATGTCGAGGGGCGAGGGGCACGGAAGCAGCTAAAGACAATGATCACTTTTGACGATGGTACGTCACTTCGTTTTTTGACATCTGTGTCATCTAAGCTATTACAGGCAGCACATGGACCTCGCTCCGCCCTCCATCTCAAGACAGCGAGGGAAAACGCATCTCATGCGACCCCGCTGACACCGACCTCTGCTCCCTCCATCTCCATTCCGTCACGACCCCACACAACTACGGCCGCATCTTCTCCTCACCAGCACCTGGTTTCGCTATGGGTGTTGGGTCGATAGGCGAGAGCCTTTTACCATACGACGAAAGCGACACATTTATCAGCACAGACGCCGGCGTGACGTGGCAGATGGTCCGACGAGACGCGCACAAGTACGAGTTTGGCGACAAGGGGAGCATCCTGGTGGTCGTGAATGACGAGGATGGGACGGACAACGTGCGATATTCTCTCGACCTGGGCAAATCATGGTGCGTTCGCCTTCCTCCTCTCTGTCTTTTCAAATGCTAACTTTTCCAACAGGCTGAAATACGACATTGGCATCAAATTCCGAGCGAGGGCGCTCATGACCCTCCCCGACTCGACCTCACAAAGGTTCCTGCTTCTGGGGCAAGTAGCGCGGAAAGACCAGACAAAGGATACCGGACGTGTCGTCATTATCCAGCTCGACTTTTCCGGGACGAGGAAACGCAAGTGTGTGGAGGGAGATTTCGAGAAATGGTATGCACGCACTTCCAAGACAGAGTGCTTGATGGGCCACAAGGTTCGTTTCACCCGTTTTCTTGTGTGTGTATATCTAAGCAGTATTTTGGTAGCAATGGTACAAACGCCGAAAACCGGACGCGGATTGCTATGTGGGAGAGAAGTATATGGACCCCGTGGAGCATGAGGATAATTGTCAGTGTACGGAGGAAGATTACGAATGGTACGTTCTTATCTCTCACTTACTTTTTGTATTAGAGCTAACCTCTCCTTTGCTAGCGACTATAATTTCGTCCGAAACGGAAAGGATTGCGTCCCCGTTGGGCCGGAGCCGATCCCTGCTGGCGTATGTACTGGGAACCCCGACCAGACGTACAAGGGCTCCTCGGGATGGAGGAAGATTCCTGGGAATACCTGCGTTGATGGCGTCAAGAAGGACGAGAAGGTTGATAAGAAGTGTTCGCAAGGTATACTCTTTCGTCATTGTTGGCTTGAGACATTTCTGATTACCACTAACAGCGCAACCTGCCCCTGGGGAAATCACCCATCAAATTGTAAGCTTTCACTGTTGTATTTCGCCTAGCATTGAACTTATCTTTCGCAGCACGACTTCAAACATCAGATCGTGCAACACGCGTACTTCAAGAACCCCAAAGTAAGCTGTCCTATCGACGCCGTATCTCTCTCGTTCCGACGTCTGCCCAGGTCAAAACTATTCTGGTTCGTCTCATGGACCACACCATGTGGCAATCCAGCAACGAAGGTTACAGCTGGACGCAAATCCACCCCGAACACCGCTTCCTCGCATTCTACCACCACAAATACGCGGACGACCGTGCCTACCTCATCACCGACACCGACACCTTCTTCTACACAACCGACACCGGACGAACGTGGATCCGAGCCAAAGCCCCAACTCCACCAAACACCTTCGGAGCGCAAGTCCTCCACTTCCACCCGAACACCGACAACCTCATCTGGACGGGCAACAGAGGCTGCTCGGCCCAAGCACAAAGCTGTCATGCAGAAGCCCAGTACTCCAGGGATAACGGGCGCAAGTGGTCCCTCATCGATAGCTACGTGCGGAATTGCGCGTGGGCGAAAGACGCGGAGCTCAATACTGATCCGAACGAGATCATTTGCGAGTCCTATCGGGACAAGAAGGGCAACCAGCGTCTATTCCAGAATGAAAACCCGATGGAACTCGTGACAGGGTCAAACTATTACGCGAATAAAAGGAAGGTCTTTGATCATGTTGTTGGTTTTGCGAAGTTTTCAGAGTTCCTGATCGTTGCTGAGGTGGGTCGATTTCCTATGGTTTTGGTGCGCCAGGTTTTTACGCTTCTTCGTAGATGATACCCGAGAGACGCTCTTTGGAGCTCGAAGTCTCGCTGGACGGAATTCACTTTGCGACTGGCAAGTTCCCGCCCAGCATGCACCCGGAAACGCACGTGAGTATTCAATCTTCCCTGTCTGTACGATCGCTTCTGATGGCCCCCTCTTTCAGGCATACACTGTCTTGGAGTCAAGCACGAAATCGCTTTTCCTTCACATGACAATGTCAGAGGCTCCGGCTCCCTTCTGGGGCAACATCCTAAAGTCCAACTCAAACGGAACGTACTTCGGTCTTGCGCTTGAGAACGTCAATCGGGACGAACGGGGCTACGTCGATTTCGAGAAGATGATTGGCCTGGACGGCATCGCTCTCGTCAACGTCGTGTCCAATCCCACAGACGCAACGCTTTCAGGCCATAAACAGTTGCAGAGCCGAATCACGCACAACGACGGTATGCAGCTCCTTCACTGTAATTTCGTCCGCTGATTTGAAACAGGAAGTACGTGGAGGCCCTTGACACCACCAGTGGTCGACTCACAGGGGAACAAATACTCATGCGAGGGTACAGTAAGTGCTGCTTATCTCTCGCTAGACATGAGCCTGATCTTTGCTCCCAACAGAAGTGCGCCCTTCACATTCATGGCTACACCGAACGGATGGATCCACGAGCCACCTATAGCAGTCCTTCGATCGTTGGGGTGCTTATGGCCGTTGGAAATGTTGGTGAAACGTTGGCTCCGTACACCGAGAGCGACACCTTCCTCAGCCGCGACGCTGGCTTCACATGGCAAGAAGTCCACAAGGACGCCCATCTATGGGAGTTTGGCGACTCTGGATCGATTCTTGTCCTAGCTAACGACGAAGAACCGACCGACCACATCCTGTTCAGTACAGACGAAGGTCTGACGTGGCGAGAATACAAGTTCACGGAGGAGAAGATGCGCGTTCGGTCTATTGTCACTATTCCTTCTGACACCAGTCGACGTTTCATCCTATTTGGAAGTCTCATGCGTACACCCGGTTCAATCGCGGTCCATATTGACTTCACGCAGTTGACTTCAAGAAAATGTTTGCGGATTTGGTTCTATTTCTTCAACTCCTACGCTAACTTCTGTTCCTTAGGTGACCTTAGCACTGACAATCCTGCAAAGGATGACTTTGAGATGTGGAGCCCGAGTGAGAACCGCCCAGAGCAATGTCTCTTCGGCCGCCAGGTATGACCATTTTCTTGCTGAGGGGATTTACGAACTCAACGTCCATTTAGACACTCTACCACCGCCGCATTCGTAACACGGATTGCACTGTGGGGGAACAAGAAAAGGCAGCTAGCCGCGTTGTTCTCAACTGCGCTTGCTCAAAAGTTGATTTCGAATGGTACTTCTTCTTTAATCTTTCTTAACATCACGCTTAGTCCTCCTTCAGCGAGTTCAACCACGTTAAGAACACCAACGACGAGTGCGAACTTGTCCCTGGTACCACTCCTCTGCCCGACAGTGATACGGCTTGCAGAAACGGCGAAGAGTTTTGGTACGAACGGACAGCATACCGTTTGATCCCCTATTCCAGCTGCACGGATGGTGAGAGACCTGATCGTGGTCGCGAGCATCGCTGCCCTGGTTTCAAGTCCCATAGCGCTTGGTTCTGGCTATTCATGCTTCTCCTCCCATTCGGTTTCACGGCTCTCATTGCTTTTTACTATTATCGTCGGAGTGGCCTCGCCAGAGGGTACGTTTATCCTGCATCTCCGTCATTGCTTACTTACGTGATACTTTAGTACCATCCGCCTCCCTGGAGACGGAGGAAGGCCCGCGTACGGTGGCGACACAGGCGTCGTCGCTACTCTCGCTTCTGTTCCTTGGTTCATTGTTGGCGTTGCGGGTATCGCCTGGGAATGGGTTGTATCTCATGTGGAGCGTCTTGCGCCTGGTGCAAGAAGCGGGTACAGGAACTTGCCGATAGACGAGGATGCACAGGTATTGAGGTTCGAAGACGAGGATTAATATGTTGATATACACGCACGTCGATCGCTATGCTATACATATGCAGTACTGCCCTTATTTATTCATACCATATCGTACTGCGAGAGTCCCCATAGGGCGCCCAGAGCTTTACGAAGCATAGATAAGTATATATAATGTTCTAGCCGAAGTCCATATGCATGTAGTCTACTCTGCTTTCTACGTGGTAGTAGTTGCCCGTTGGGGCAGTACTATATGAATGATTGGCCAACCAAGCATAGTAGAACTATGAAAGGCGTGATGGCCAGCCATGGAATGTGAACGAATTGGCCAGTCGATGAAGACATAAGATGGGACGCGCTGGGAACGGTGAATGCGTTAGACTGAATAATCACTGCAGCCTGTTCGGCTACTCCGTATGTCGCAGACCCGAGCTGTGTGATGACAATGAGCGGGAGGCAATGCGAATAGGAGGGTCAACCAACGTACATGAGCGGCAAACTCGAATGGGTAGATCGACGAGTCGGCGATTCGTACATTGGCTAGAACACAAGTCAGTCTCACTTCCACCTTCATTTAACTCGATCCAAACGACAACTCACCCGTTCCATGAACCTGAAGGTCGGCATTGACGACACCACCCAACTCCTTGGAGAGCATCGAGCAGCTTCCAGCTGGATGGTACTGAGTGGAAGCGCCCGATCCCCGCAACCACGCTTCTATCTGCTCATCACTCTGGACGTCTGGTCCGGGAGTGATTTCTGCGCCTAGGGTCGTTCCGAAGGCAACGCCGACGTTGCGCGCGAGCTTTACGCCTTCGCGCATCATAACCACATCTATATGATATAATCAATTAAAGGGAAGTGGAGATGTATGGTGGGAGGCTTGCCTGCGAAGTGGGAATAGTACTGTGGGTCAACGACGATAGGGTCCAGAGGGTTGTTCGTGTTAATGTAGAGCCGTCCGCGGCTGAAATCCATATGTATTTCGGTTAATTTCTTAGTAGAGAGGGGGAGTGAACAGCGTACCTGAATGGGTGTTGGATTGCAGCTTGTATGCTCACCGTTCCCGGAGAGATTACACTGAGCAACAATTCCAATTGCGCCGTTTGGTCCATAATTTGTGCTGTGAGGTTATACACCGCCTTGTACCCTTGCACGACCTCCGGGTACTGCGTCGGCACAAGACTGCTTGCGGAGTCGTCCAAAGCAGCTTGGACTGCAGCTTGGAACGTTGCGGAATCGTTGGTGAACCCGAAAAGAGCGGAATTGTTGACAAAGGCGACTGCGTCATTGATGAACGATTGAAACTCCGGAGTTTTCTGTGTGATTGTTATGACGGTATTCATGGCCAATGTGAAGCAGCGTACGCACGGAGAAGTCGGATCCGGAATAATAAATGTCGCCAGCTGTTTCTAAGGGGGTTTGCCAAACCACACCTGCAGTCTATTGTGCGATTGTTGAGACCAAGAGAGGGGACAAGGGCAGGGACATGACTTACCATGTGATCTTGGAGATGTTGACCGACACCTGGAAGCTCAAGTTTCAGTGGTACGCCCGCTGCGTCGAGTACGTCCTTTGGTCCAACACCGCTATGAAGCAAAATCTTCGGACTGCCCAAAGAGCCACCGGCGAGAGTGACTTCTCTTCTCACACCGATGGTGATCAACTTATTATCTGCGGCATTCATGAATTCGACCGCGTTCGCTGTTAAACTCGAAGATGAAGACGATGAGTCGGAGAAAAGTAATCGTGTGACAGTGGCGCCGGGAAGGATGTGTAAATTACTGCGAGGGGGTAATGGGTCGATGTAAGCCGAACGCGAATACGACCTCGTCCAATTGGCGGGATTGATCGAGGAAGGAGTGATGAATGCCCCCATAGTCACACCACCATTCGGGGCCTCAAGGGTCGGGATACCCGCACCTGCCAACGCAGACGTCCAATTGGCTACGATGTTGATCATCCTGTGCACGTTCATCATCAATCCGTGAGTAGAGGGGAGGTTACTGTACTCACATGGCCGGGTAGGAAACCTGTATGGGGCCGCCCGATCCATGGGTAGATGCATCGTAGGATATGTTGACAACAGATTGGACACTTGAGGAAGGAGGCGTAAAGTTTTCGCTTTTCTTCATTGCGGCATACATGTTCGCCCAGTTCCATCTATTTGCAGCACTTGTATCGTTGGTATTGGAGAGTGAAAGAGTCGCCCACGCATCCATCTCTAGCGAGGATGGACGGACGAGATACATCGCGTTTATTGCTGAGGAGCCTCCGAGAAGCTGAGGTTACGTTAGGAAATGGTTCCTATGTGACGGTAATGTGTTACTTCAAGTTTACCTTTCCTCTGGGCCACCCAACGACGCGATTGCTTAGATTCGTCTGTGGCACGGTGACGTGCTGCCAATCATAGCTAGACCCAATCACCGAGGAAAAGTAGGTCCCATCAGGGATATCTAGCGCGACGTTAGCTTAATTTACATCGTATTTCAAAGGAGTACTAACCAATCTGGCTCGCAGCAGCGTCTCCAGATTCACCAGCCTCAAGAACCAACACAGTGTTGCCTGGGTTTTCGGATAGCCGTGAGGCGAGAACTAGACCCGCCAGACCGCCTCCTGCAATAACGAAGTCGTAAGAAGCTGAAAGATCGGTGTCTGCGATGATGCTGCGTGAAAATAAGGAGCGTTGTTGAATGTGTGGCCGTTGGTTGGGGGCACAGTGTGCTTGAGCAATGATAGCAAAAAAGACGAAAAAGGGAAGGTCGAGAAACCACATAAGCGTATCGCAAAGTATCGTTAGAAATGGGATTCGTGAGGTCGTTGTTGAGAGAGGTGAAGGTCATAAGTCGTGAAGAAACTTGAACCACAATGTGAGTTCAACTTGCCGAGGGCTTGGCAGGAATCGACCCTGACTTGACCCTGACCGGTCTTGGCAATACGCAGCAGTGATACTTGAATTACGTCTTGGATGGGCTTGTGTGTGAGCCGCTAAGCAACAGGAAATTTAGACCAAGGAAAGACCTGTCCTTGAAGTTCTTGAGTCCAACAATCCAAATTTTCACGCGAACGGTTGGCGAACGGATAAGAAATTCGTGGTTGTCTTTGTGAATCAAAATGATTATGAGCCATCCTTGCCTATCTTGAATTCTTCAACGGCGGCCGATGATCGTGGATTTAGCTCGGTGGCAGAAGCAGCATGGGATATTCTCGGAGCAACTTGATATTCACACTCCGACATCAGCAATTCCAAAAACCTCCAACTTGAAGGATATAAACAGGATAAAACTATTCAGAAACCCCCTTTCTGCGAGAAATCAGGGGTTTCTCTGTGTTAAGCGAGAAACCCCATGATTTTTTGTTTGCCCATCATAATGCGAATTTGCGTGCCTTGCCCAAACAAGGACATGTGACCGCGCGTAGCTCTTCGCCCAAACCTCGCCTCGAGGACATCGCGCTCACTCATCTTAGTTCTGTGGTATCAATAACTCCCATGATGAGACATTATTCAAGTGACTTTCAAGCATTTCTAACCACCTCTCCCAGTATTTGTAGTATTTCTATGAGATTGAATGCGCTTACCGACATAAAATACAGCGCCTCGCGTCGACGCGAGGCTGAAAACGACGACTTCCATTAGCCGCCAATCCTCAATCCAAAGGGCAGGCCACGTGAACGGAGAATAACAGGTGCTACCGAAGGACGTCCGCAAGGAGGAGGGGCAAGGGCACAACCGAAGGCAGCACAAACGCGAAAATGCGGCATTTGTGATAAGACTGGCCATATGAAAAGGTCCTGCCCAAGCTTGAAGAATATTTAGATAGTGATTAAGAGTTATGATCTACTGTACACACCTCTAGTTGGCCCGTCAACATCACCATAATTGTTAAATAGCGCATGTCTTCACAGCCAGGTAGACGCCGTAGTCGACAGTGTTAAGGGACATGCGACAGCAACTGCTCCACAAATGGTCGCTGCTGTGCTGCCACACCCCATAAGACACACAAGAGTTGCGTGTCGAGTCTCCAAGTCGTATCGCGTTCTTTGATCAACAGAACATATCACATGATCAATTTCCGGCATTTTATGCCGACATTCTTTGTCCTATCAGAAAGGGGGTTTCTATATAAGCGGTACTATTTTTCGCAGAAAGGGGGTTTCTGAATAGTTTTATCCATATAAACTGGAGGCAGCAGTGCACACACATTTGTTTATGGAGTGGTACCATGGTGTGGCTGTAACGGGAAAGCCGCCTCTAAGAACTTTGCGTACTATGCCCACCACTACCTCGGCACCTCTGTCGGTGCATTTTTTATGACAATTCGGACGACGAGGGGTCATCTTGAAAGTTGAAACCTTCCACAAGACCTCTTGCCACAAAATTGAGACAGCCTCCTGGGCCTAATCCAAGCCATTTTTGCTTTTCTCCGTCGAAAAAAAAAACGATGGATCAGGGAGCTTGCAAATTTTCATTGCTGAGCACCTTCAACGTGACATCGTTGATAGGACCAGCCAGAGCAATGTTGGAACATGCGAGAAAATGGGCATAGCGAGTGTGCATGGACAAGCTGCATTTCGTCAAAGTCCCTGTATGCAAACATTTTATTCCGATCGCTGTAGCAATTTAAACAGGACGGACAAGACTCGACACACACACACAGAAAAGGGTTACGACACACAAGGAAAAGAGCGGCACTCCAGCCGAAAACACAACACACTGATGCCAAGAGTGTGTCGAATGTTTTCCTCCACGTGTGTCGTGTATCCAGTTAGGATTTCGTGAGTGAAGTCCACCCTCGACTAAATAGTATTCTTCCTTACGCGTGGGGTCTTATTTTGGGCTCAGCCATGCTCATAAATTTCACCATAGAGTGTATTCCATACTAGTAAAGGACAAGCTACTATACATGAAAGTATACTACATAAATTATGAAAGACGAGCGACGTCGCTGCTCCTTGACAAACCCAGCACGACCATCGCGCCTCGTCCCCACCGAGATTACTCGCCGGCGAAAGCCTAGTTGGTGTGCATTCATTTCCGGTGTGGCTGTTGTCGGTTGTGGCTCGCTGGCAGGACAGTACATGGATCAGGTTTTCTTCCCCATGGCCTGCGAGGTTGTGGGGTTAGGAATGAGCAGGGCAGGGAATGAGGCTGGAGACATACCGAATAAGGGCATGTGTGCACTTCCCCTTCCCTCTATCCCTCGCCATTCTGGGGATCTGGGGGATGCGCCTCCACTCTTCGTGTCTAGGGTAATCAGGGCCAAATCAGGGCGTCACTCTGGCCGTTCTTCGTGGTGTCTTGATACCGTCATCACTGCTGAACAAGGGAGGAACGTTGGGTCCGTGTCGCGATGGTCGCCGCCAGGTGGGATATGTGAGACAGGGGTGGCAGGCGGCATGACCGATGGTGGTGGTGCTGGAAAAAGAGCGGTGTGACGAGTGACTAGTGACGAGTGACGAGTGACTGGCGCACCGAAAAACGGTGTACGACACAAGTGTCAAGTACGACTTGAGTACGACACAGTGTTACCTGGTGTGTCGCTTCTCACATCGTGTGTCGTGACACTCACCTGTGTGTGGGTGTCCCATCTTGTATATCCTCCAATTTAAAGGTGGACCTCCAGGCATCACGGATTGATCCTCGAAATACGTTTTTCAAGCGAAAATCTGACAATCTTGGCAGAAGCAAGCCGTCAAGTAACTGTGCTAGATCAGCAACGTGACCTAACCGAGCTGCAGAAGAGGACGTATTTATTCACCTGAGCGGGGCGAAGTGAAACCGAGTTAACGAACATCAAGAAATGCAAGGTCATGACACTCGGTCAGAATCACAAACAGCCCAGAGTTACTTTTGTGAGTTGGCCCCAACAAATAGATGTAGGGAGATAATCCTATGGGGAGTTTACCCCGGCAATCCTTCGGAGAGAAGCGGAGGATTGCAAGCAGAGCGAAAGCTGATCTATGAAACCAGTGCTCGAATTCGCACTGCGACGTCAAAGAACTCAAGGGATGACGTGGCACCGTGTGGTACATCACGAAACAGAACAGCACCGCTCAGAGCAAGGTTAACAACTCGCCACCGATATGCGTGACTAATGAATAAGGCGAGAATATCCCGCACGGGGGAGCTGCCAAGGGTACTCGCCAAGAAACAGAGAAAGCAGGTACGAATCGGGCCGAAAAGCCAAAGCCACACAAGATTGACAAATTTCCTCTTGGGCCACATAACGTACAGAGACGACCAGAGGGACGGATTGGAAGCTGCGAGGAAATTCCAATACGAGCACACGTGGCAGAGGGGTATTGCCGTCGTGCGAGCTTTCACATTTGCAGCAATGCGGGTAGGTGAAGCCATTCCGAGTTATCGTCATCATATACGTAGTGTTTGAATATCTCCGCAAGGATCTCAGGCGGAAGTAGTGTGTTGATGCAGAGAATATGGTGGTTCGTGTCATTCAGAGAAGGTATGACTAAACGATGGGGGAATGACGAAGGAACGCCTGCACGATACGGGCCCACTGCCTTCGCCTTATGCTAAAGAAGCAGTGAAAGCGTAGCTGTGTGCTGGCGGAGCGATGAAGCCGTGACTGAATGTTGGCGGAGCGATTTGGAAACGTCAACGGGAGTTGCGGTGGTCGCGGGGTCGCATCAGAGTACCCACTGCGAGAAGCGTCGACCTGGATTCCACAGGCTCGAGGGTGACGTCACGTCAAGGCTGCCGGAATCGATAAAAGATGCCGTGGTTATAGAAGCCGAGCCATGACTGACAATCAACTCCGGCGCAAATCAAGGATGGATTTATCAATGAAAACCATGAGGGTAGGTGAGTGGGATACGTACATGCAGGTTCTGAGGTTTGGATGGGATACGAGTTCCAGGTTTGTGGAAAGGTGGTTCGTCAAAGTTCTTCAAGGAACCGTGCAGTCGGGAATCCGCAGGATGAGGTCAGACGATACGCGCGAGACATGTTTCTTGGAACGCTGAAGAGACAACTTGCACAAAGAACCTTGAGAAGGTCGCAACTACGGAACAAGGACGAGCAAGGATGAATGCCCTTTTTTTCGGCAGTGTGAGCCAAGCGTAAAAACGAGTGGAAATTTGGAACTTACGAAGTATGATATATAAGTGCTCGGGTTTGGCGCCGTATTCATCCTTTCTGCTGCTGGGAGATGAAGAAAAGTTCGAAGTGAGGAGCTGAAGTTGTTGTTCGTTTTGATGCCAGGTCTTCGATCTTAGATCTTACTTTGAACAAACAACGGCCGCCAAGACCTCGCCCAAACGTCCATCACAACGACACACGTCCAACGTCGTAGACGCCCTCTACGTTGATTCCACAAGGTCGATGAACAATATGTCTAGGACTGCAGACATCTTTCCATGTCACGACGCTCACCTCACCCAATTGGAGCCACATCACCATCGATGGGTCGTTCAAGAATGAGAGAAAGACGGGGACTGAACGTTGAGTGGGTGTGTCAACGTCTTTCCTTCTAATTTGTGAGAATCACGTTGCTGTTGGTTTTTTACATAGACTGACGTGGTGGGATTCGTGGTAGGTCAGACGTTCGTGTCTGAGCGGTCCTTCGTCAATAATTTGCCTTGCGCGAACTCACTTCGAGAGTCCATCTTCCAATCATCTTACAACGCAAGTTTCTTCCCTTCGAACCTCTAGACTTTTCCCCACGTTATCTTCGCAAGACTCGTCATTTACCTGTGGTGCTGGTTAGTTCTCTCGCCATCCGTTCTTGGGTTGTCGCTTATGAGTGATGCGAAGTAAGCATCAACACATCGTAGGGTTGGATGCGTGGACATGCACCCCGGAAGAGAAAACATCTACTTGCGTAGTCGTCACAAGTTTCTGGGTCGCTAACGCTTGACGGTTTTATGCCACAGGTACATCTCAATTTGAACTTTCAATCCTCCATTGTCGAATGCGTCCTGATGCTCTTCAGCGTTTTTCTTAACCGGATGTCGACCAATCGGACAGCACGCTCTAGAGTGGGTATATTTTATGCCCCGCAAGGATGCTTCAGTGACCTCATGGATGTCCGTCATAACCTGTAATCATAGCCACGTGGCCCACACTGCGATATCGCCCATGGTTAAATTTCAAATTTTGACTTCTTTAACGAATTTATTGCCTTAAACCGTTCCTCAGCCCGCCTCCAACTATAAAATATGATCTCCAATATCAACGTCCTCCCTGGTTCCTCTTCATTATACTTGTCCGAAGTGACGGCGGCCGTCCGACCTCTCTGAAAGCTTGGATAGGAATTCCATCCCCTGCTCTCAGTCTCTCTTCACCTCAGGTCGTGACCACCCCTTTAAACGCCCCCAGTAGTGCTAGACACCTTCCGCAGCTCGAACTATTTCTCGTGGTACGCTGAGCGTTAGCTTGAAAGCAGATTTCAGTGCTCTTTGTCTTATTGCAGAGTCCCTTGCGAGCGGTCGTCGAGAAGTTATATGAGTCCGCTTTCTAGTTCATCTCGGCTACCGCATCTCCCAACTTATCACCTCACTCGCAGTCGGGCATTTTGTTGGCATGGAAATTGCAGCCGCTCCTTCCCTGAATCGCTGAGCAGAGAGGAGAGGATTTTTTGGAGTACCTTCTCCGAGTCGTTGAGCTCTTGCGTCGCTCGTGCTTCTAGTCCCCGCTCCTCACTATCACCCAGTCTGATATCCATTCAAGACTTGTCATTCATTCATGTCTCCCACCCACTTGCCAGAGTTCGTCGATTGTGACACTTGCTACATCACACCGTCGACGCACAGGACATCGTGATTGACATTGAAGGTTTAAACTCCCCATTAACTCGTTCACCCTTAATGGCGATGCTGAGTAACGATTTAATTAGGGTTCATGGGCTCTTGTTGCTGGCGATGATAGCAAACGCAGGTTTTCGTGTTACGACTTGGCTTTTGCCCGCTCGGGTCATACGTCAGGGCGCTGTACAGTTGCTGAGTTTAGTTGGTAAATTGTGTATCTCCGACATGAGTCTATGAAGTGAGTTTTGTCCTCATGGAAGTATAGGAGTGATGAATGGACAATAAAGATGAAGACGAGACTGGAATGATAACTACAAAAGGAAGAATTTTTGGCATTTCTTTCCAACAATCATCCTGGTAGAAGCCTGAGACTGGAGACGCGCGGTTGCCACCGCCCAAGGGTCCAAACTTCGTCGAATCGTCTCTACTTATCCTCGGTGAACTCCGGTAAAGGCACCTAACGAATGTAATTTTGAAAAGCAGGAGATGCCCACGGAGCCAAGAGCTTCGAGATCAAATCCTACATACCTCGGTATAGTCCGACCTTAATTTGTTGGGATTCGCAAAGGTTATAGAAATGCAAGTTTATCCTAGTTCATCTGACGTCCAAGATTGAACTAGTAAGTTGCTATGTTCAATACAGGAGCTAGCAGGTTGCTAGCAGGGGCGCCGGAACTAAATGTGTCTGTCACCTCTACCCATCAGCCGCCGGCAGATCCCCTTGCTCTGTGGATCTCTGAATTTGCATCCGCGGGTCGGGGAGAAATGAGATGCGGAATTTGACTACATGACAAGGCTACTGAAAAGCCACCGAGTGACCCGGTTTTCATTACTCTTTAGCATTTTAGGCCATTAGCCATAGTGATGTACCCAGTTCCAAAGACTGGGAAAACGCCCCTCCGCTCCATCGAAAGTCCTCCACACTTGTTGCACGCTATGTTCAATGCGAGAATGCCCAGTAAACCACAGTACATGTTGCATGGAGATCGCCGCGAGAATTTCAAATAAAATTCTTCAGAAGCACTGGTAAGGTCCGCCACAAACCCTCACAGAAACTGGGGTGCAATTGCTTACGGCTCCCTAAGGGTTTTAAATTCCAGTCAATGATGGCGCTCGCTCTTTCCCGAGAGCACTGAAGTATTCGTTGCTCTATTCTCCTTGGGCGCTGAAAGTTGGGGAAGGGGCATAATCCCAATGACTAGAGGAGATGAAAATCAAAAACGAGAGCTGGCTGAGGTGGGCGGGGGAGGTGCGGAGGATTGCCAGTTTGCTTGATTGAGTGCATTATTACTGGTCAACAGCGAGATCACTTCCAAATCACTTCATCAAATTACGAGTGAGTCGCCGTTTGAAACTCACAAGGATTGTCATCTTTAAGGCGTCGATATAAAAATTAATCGTAACACGCCGCGTTTTTGGTAAGTACAAGTCAAATTGCATCGCCATGAAACACTGAAAGGCGACGAAAAGACGGAAAGCTTGCATGTAGTATTTCGAAAAAGTGATACGTCGTTCTTTGTTGAACTTGATACCAGCCCGCAGGTATCAGTCAAGACTATCATGAGTGATGACTATAAATCATACGGTGGACATCTACTATTAGCTCGGAGAACGAGATATATAGTGGATATGGTGGATATTTACTGTGAGTGAAATTCTAAGAAATCCATCGCTGTATCTCATTTTTAAAAGAATGGTGGATATTTACTGACTAGGGTGGATACACACTACATCCTCCTATTTTTCAGTGGACGGTAGATATCTACTGTCCAGTCCAACTTTCACCCGGCGGTGGGTTCCCACCATACTACCTGCCTATTGCGTGTCACCGTGATGGTAGACACCCACCGTATCTCCGTTTTTTTTATAACTTCAAGTGGACAGTGGAACTTTGCTCAGCGGATGGCCACCGTATAAGTTATAGTCATCACTAATAGTAGTCCTGACTGATGCCTGCCGGCTGATATCAACTTGATCATAGAACAATGTATCACTTTTTCACTATACTACGTGCAAGGTAACCCCGAAAAGACTCGTCAATGAAGGTCGTGTGACGTAGCAGCAAAATTCGGGAATCGCCGCACAGCATCAACGGGGCAATTCCGGAATTTCCGGGGTGGTTGCAATTTGTACAGTACTTACAAACGTCGTCAACTCAATTCAATGCAGGGCCAATTCTATCAGCCCTGAAAGCGAATTACTGATATATGGAGAGGATCGCGACTATCCATCCACCCCATATCCTCAAGAAACAACCTCGTCATAAAGATGGTCACTCAAGTAACCGTTTTCAAGTGAGCCTTTCAACTTTCGATTTGCCTCCATCCTAGCTCATGAAGCCACTATACCAGGACTGCACCTCTCGTTCGTTTTAAACGTTTCGTTTCAAGTTGGTGTACTAATCGGGAGTTATTTTCTCCAGCTTATTGGGACCATCATCACTTGGTTTTTGTCGGGGTCGTTGATGGTGCAGACTTGTGCGTATCTGCGTTCCCTCCAGAATCAACAACTTTTAACCCCTCCTTTCCAGACGACTACTTCTATACTGATGCGTTAGCAGATGACATGATATACATCAAAGCAGTGGGTGCGTCTGAATCCCGAGTTTCGTCGTTAGCCGTCGGTAATTACACTCCAACGTCAGTGTGGTTTGCCTTCGTCGTCGACCAAGTACGCTCTATGGCGGTGACGGCGTCCGCTTGGCAGAGCTTAGTGGTGGCGTGGGGGAAACCGTCGGATTTCATTGGGACAGTCATCTTTCCGCTCATGACCGTGCCGCTTACTGGATTGGGTGAGTTCTCTTTGGTTCTCCCACTCACTTACCAAACTATTGACAGAATCATGCGTGGTGCAAATATTCTTTTCTTGGTGTGTACGTTTGGAAGTAATTTGCTTCTCGGCCTTAACTCCCTTCGGTTATCAGGCGGATATGGACCCTAAGAAAAGACTCCAAAGTTTGTCGACTGATCGCGGTCTTAATCTCTTTGGCGTGTGGCTTTCTTCATGTCAACGACGAGTATTGACGTTTGTTCAGGTTGCATTGCTACAACTGTCGGCTGCCATCGTCCGTGGAGTAGTTGTGCGTGAATCTTTATGAATGAAGTTTGTATGAATGCTCACCGATGTACCTCGCGCCAGTGTGCTCAACCACCAAGCACTGCCAGGAGGTCATATAATATGGAAATTACGGCGAAGGTATGTTGAAACTCGCTGTCATATTGCGTAGCGCTTAGTCGTGCCAATATCAGTTGTGGCTTGCGGGAACTTTCATCTGTGACTTCATTATTGTTGCAACCATGACATATCTGGCACGTCAACCTTTCCTCTTTCGATGTGTATGAGTTATTCAAGGTTTTGCTCCCCACAGCTCTTCAAAGCAAAGCTCGAATCCTCATTCAATGCGACCAGACGCGTTGTAGACCGCCTCATTATCGTTACTCTGGAGACGGGCGCCGTTACCCTCGCCGCAACTCTCGTTCAACTCATTTTCTATTTCAGATATCCACCGAACTCCCTCCAACAGGTTGGAGTGTAAGTTTCACTCATATTTGTACCGCAACAGTGCTCGTCTGACACATCTGAATGGTAGAATGTATATCCTCGGGGGCTTGTGAGTCATTCCTAAGTGGCGGTATCATTAACAACTGACCCACTGAAACAGATATTCAAACGTCCTTCTCAGCGTCCTCAACGGCCGAAAGCGCGCTCGCCGTCAACTGGCAGAAACAAGTCACAATTTCAGCCTTCATTTCACCGACCAAAGCCTTCCAGCCCCTCGTTCGTCTTCCTCATACCAGGAAGGAATCGAAATCAAGTAATATAATGTTCTAACGATCCGATGGCTGGGTCGTCTGCCATCTGTTGGTCACATGCCATGACTCGAGCGTTTGGGGGGATTTCAACTGCATACTGCCCAAACAGCAAACCTGTACTCCAACGTATGTTTATTGCTCGCCACGGAATAAAAATTATGGACAAATTTGATGATGAGTCAACTCGTAGAATACCACTATCACCAAGTCACCACCTCTACCTAGCCGATTCCCCACCTTCTTGCGTCTTACACAAATTTGAACTCGACAACCGCTCAAAACCTTCAATCATCCCAACCACTCTCTTTAACACATTCCTCACCGCAACCGGATCCCTTTTCGCCTTCATCTTCCTCGCCCATCGCGCATTTGTCTTTCCCTGCTGCCGTGTCTTCGTCTCCGAAATCAATCATAACCGCCCAGTGAGGCCCATTCAAAATATTCCGCAAAACCGTATACATAAGTAAAACCTGCTTTGTTCATTCAGGGCTTGACATGCCAAGCCGTTATGGAAATAACAATGATGCAGGACAATCGCCCTGTGCTCTTCGAAAACCAGGTCCCCGGCTCAGTGGAAATACTGCAAGCCAACGCCCGCAAAACCTTGTTCTACACGACACGGTAAGCAATGTTGAGTACTTCGTCATTCGATAGTAGATCAACTCCCAAACCACCACCTTCTCTAAACCATCTGGATAATCGTGGACTGAGGTCTGGTACTATTCGTCGCCGAGGGTAATGCGGTACGCAGCTGTAGCCTGTTATGCTCGGACTCTAATGACCATGGCTGCTCGTTTCGGTTGAGTTAGCCGTTTTCGTCGTAGATGCGGTCGCGTTTGGAAAGATATCACGGGTCGTATACCTTGAGAATGTAGAGAGAACCAATCGAGAACGTCGAAAACGGCGTCGTCTGCGGACATGTACGCGTGCAACATGTGCATGAGCCACGGTCGGCTTTCTGAAAGTCGATGCCTTTACTACGCGGGGTCGATGATGCAGCCTAAGAAAGACCTCGTGTGTGAGTTGCACCTTCGACGCGAGCAGAGGAGATGGTGTCGACTGTCTGGTAGTTGCCTTCATTCCAGCGAAGAGGGTCGATATTGTGTCTGATGATGTGAGAGATGGTGACAACTCACGATCTCAGAAAGAGGGAGCACCGCGGACTCGTATTCGCCACAAAGTCCTCGCTAGCCGTTCCTCCTGCCACTTGATGAGTTTTGAGGGTCATCTGTATCCATTTCTCTGGGCGCTGATGATTTCTGGAGAGGTGGTCGAACCAAGCTTGAACTCGTCGTCGTAAGAATTACATCACGTGTCGCGGTTCTGGCTCAGTCACAAAACTACGTGCCTTGTATTAGTATAAGTATTACGCAGCTTGTACGTGCCTGCCACACAGCAATGCCCCAGGCCAACCACACGCTCCGCATCTCCTAGGTCGCCGTTATCATATCCTCTCATCATCCTAGCTCATATTGGTGGCATGCCGACTTCTATTCTCGACCTTCCAACGGAACTCATCCTGGAGATCATCCATTCGGAGGACTTCACAAATGCCACTATCGCGTACTTTGGAATGACTTGTCGCCGTTTCCATGACATATGTCAAGTTCTTGTTCTGGAGCGCCAACTTCCCGTACTGCGCGCATTAGCGAGTAGGCGTAGCCTCCTTATCTATAAGAACTATGGATCAATCGCGATGAAAGATGATGAATTAAATGACGTGAAGGAGATATTTCAAGCTTCATTCCACAAAATCGAATACGTCCTTGTCACCTTCACCGTTGAGGAAATCGCAAGCGTTCACGGATTTATTTTTCACGCCAACGCTGTTGGCCATATTGACATCAAACTCGGTTCACAGTTATACATGTCCAGCCTAGCCGAGAAAAAAGATTGGTGCCAAACGCTAGCTTCGTTCATCAGGGTTTCCTCGGAGAAGGATATGGCAAACTTGACCATCACGGGTTTACCCCACGGCGAGCGACTCGGATACTTCAAACCCACGATACCCATTCCCGAAACGCCATCAAGTCCCTTCATCCCCCTGCCCATCACCAAATCGTCATCAAGTGCTATAAAGACCTATTTTTCCTTTCTTAGTCCGCTTAAGGGCCGCTTTTTTGGTCTTAAAACGCGGTCAGGCAGTATTGGTACTCAGCCCAACCGCCATGTTGCACCGGAAGGAGAGCGACTCTTCAACTTCGGTACACCCCTAGGACTCAAAAGTTTTGAGATACACTCCCCCCTCCCTTTTCATGGAGCATGCTTTCCGCAGACCCTACGAGCTCTGAATGGTGGATACCTTTCCAGATTATCGCTCTTGAACACAAGACTCCATATGTCAGAATGGAGTCACATACTGCCCCTACTTTCCATGCCTCTCCTGTCCGAATTTGATGTTGGGGATTCCGACATTGCTTTTCGCGACCTTTCACCATTCTTGCTGCGTCATTCAGGCATAACCCACCTCGACCTGTCATGCAGTAGTCCAATCGGATCAATCGTGCCCCCGGCGGGCTTTCTTCCTCGCCTTGAAGTGATCAGCGGAAACCCCAACTATCTTTCAGGATTACTTTCCATCCAGGGACACTTCCCAAATTTACGCTCCGTCGCGTTGACGCGGCATCCACTGCGAGCCATCCAGCACGGAGCTCTCGATAACATCTTGCGAAATTTGGGAGAACGTGAGAGAGGAACAATCCGCCTTTCCATCGAATTTTCGAACCCAACCGGTCTTACAAAATGGTTTTCCAAGGCAGAACCATTTTCCCTGGATTGCGTGAAAACGTTAGAGATTATCAGGTTCGGATTCCTCATTTCCTCAGAGATGTGCGACAGCTTCTTTTCTTGGGTATCGGTCTTCCCGTACGTCCAAGACCTGGATTTGACGCAGTTGGTTCCTGGGGACCCGAAGATGTGGACCTGGAGATTAGATGCGTTGTGGGACTCGTGTCCGGAGTTGCAGTCAATCATCGTCAAGAGAAAAACTTACCGGCGGCCTGTGAAATCAGTTGAGTAATATTCCAGGTGGATCGGTGGGCTGGTATTTTTTTGCTCCTTGCCTTTATGAAATTTATGGCATCTATATGCGAGGAATCTGTTTGGTTTTTTTGATAGGTAGCGCGGAACGGACACATTGCTGTATTCAATATGCTACACTATGCGAGTATCGGATATCCATTAACGTTCTCCGTGCCCCACAGGAGCTTCAAAATTCAAAGTGCATAAATAACTACGAGACTTTCGCATCTGTCGGTTGAAGCACTGCTACTCCGTTGCACAACATGTTGCCGGGTGCGAGATCTCAATGCGTTGGACCCTATACTGTGGGCATGGGCTTATTTATTCGGTAGAGAGGTGGTTGAGTGGCGGCGCCTGCGGACATGACGACTCTGCTGATAATTTGAGTGAGGAAAAACGTCCGTCCGATTGAACAGGCTAATTAAAGTCCATATATTCAAGTCTGAGCACCTACATCTCCTTCCTCCCTTCAACACCCAAACGCTTACGCCACCTACCTTCTCAAAACACCCCAACAACCGCAACCAAACTCATAACCACCCAAACAGCCCACGCCCCTTTCCCCCTCAAACTTTCAGCGCCACTCGTCTTTGTCGTAGTCTTCGTCGTCGCACTTGGCGTAGCACTACTAGCCACAGACGATCCATTCGTAGCGGTACTACCAGGCGGGTTCTGAGCGGCCCGAATGATGATAGCAGCTTGTTCTGCGAGGCCGTACGTCGGCGCCATGAGCTGTCCATCGCGTGAGAAGAGATCAAAGGGGGAGAAAAGGAAGAGGACGTACATGAGTAGACATAGCCAACGGGAAAACCGACGCATCCACAACTCTCACATTCGCTTCAATTTATCAGCCTTCTCCCTCATTCTTCCTAAACATGTCAAACGGAACACTCACAAATCCCAT